CAAGGATGGCACCTGAAATCTATATAACCAGACCAAAAAGTTTTATTTTAAAATTATCCAATTGCTTTTTCTTTTAAAAACAGGTACATCTCCTTGCAAGCCAGAGCGCTAAGACTTGCCACAAGACTGATGTTATTGCAATATTTTGTCAGACGCCCATTCTATTTTAAGCATATTGAAACAAACTCCTCAGCCACGTGCTTCACTTCTCCAACGCAGGGCTTTCCAAAAGTTTTACTAGTATGGCTGTATGATCTGGTTTATGGTGCAGAGAGGACTCCAAAGCCAATTAACCAACTGTTAACTTTTCTTGGTTTTTTAAAAGGATAATTGAGAACGGATCCAACTGAGGTTTTTGTTTATGCTGCCAGCAGGCAGCACAGTGTGCCACTTTAGCTGTAAGGCTAATTAGTCTAATGACAATTAATTTCCTATAATAAAGTTCGGCACATATTCAAGGGCTTGTGTGCGTTACAGGCACTGTTCATTTTAGATGCCCCCAACACAACCATCCTCGAAACCTCACATGCACACAGTAAATAGAAACACAAGTCATGCAAGAAAGGGTGTGTTAACCCGGGATCCTGTTTACTCAAGATGGTTAAACCAGAGAATCAAGTGCGCACTGTGTAATTAGGTATCAGCACATCACACAGAAGAGGACCAGCCCCAGGGAAGGCCAAAACAATTCATAGCCCTGTTTCAGAAAGCCCTCATAAGCCTGAACCTTAAAAGGCGAGTCAAATTCCGGGCCTCCAGTCCACATTTGAGGATTTACCAATACAGCCCATGCTGTAGGAGAGCACACTCTCATGTACAGGATGGCGACCAGGATCTGCAACCTAGTCAACATTTCTCAGACCTTTGTGGCGATTAGCAGTGCTGCCTCCCACAGCCTAGCTGTCACAGCCATAAACCAGCACTGTTACTATAGAACCACACCTTATGCATGAAGGAAGAAGAAGAAGAAGAAGAAGAAGAGATTGGATTTATACCCTGCCCTTCACTACCCAAAGGCGTCTCAGAGCGGCTTACAAACTCCTTTCCCTTCCCCTCCCCACAACAGACACCCTGTGAGGTGGGTGGGGCTGAGAGAACTCAGACACAAACTGCTCTTTTTCAAGGACAGCTGTGCCGGAGCTTGTGACTGACCCAAGGTCACATCAGCAGGTGCAAGTGGAGGAGTGGGGAATCAAACCCGGTTCTCTCAGACTATTTGGAGAACGATGTTTCCATATATTACAAGATCATACAAGTTGCTGAAAAGCTCACACACATGCTTTTCATAAAACACACCTGCACATACTGATTATTCTTAGGGTTTCATTGTACTGTTTTTACTTTGTGAGTCCCCTCCAGCAGGTCTCTGGAGAGGTGGCATACACATTTCCTAAATATGCATTCCTCCTTGCAAAATAGTGAACCCACACTGCATACTTCAGAAACCAGGATAGACCTTGGCACCTTCACCTTATACTAGGCAGATTTTTGTAAAGTCGAGACAGAGATGTCAGATTGTTTCCAACAAACTGCTTGGTATTAAATCCCAGCCTGTACCTTTGGAAGGTGAAGAGAAAAGTTAAAATGCTTGAGATCCGAACATATGGCTCCAGGGAACCTACGCACTTCAGGCCTAACACATAGATCACTAAGCCATCTTCTCCTGATAACAGCTATTGTTAGAGGGAACAATGGCACCCAATAGACGCCATTCCTCCAAACTGACCGGCAGGCATTGGCACACAGGACTCTCAAACAGAAAAGAGACAAGATTGATACAAGAACCTCAAAAAAGAAAAAAAAAAGAGTAGTGCCTTTCTCCTTAAAACTCCATCTGTTAAGTTAGCATGCTCCATTTAACATCCATCACCCCACAGACCTGAAACATTTCCGGATGTAAAAACAGGCCTACTTTTTTTAATGCAACACAACTTTCACAAAAGTTAGGAAATGGCAACTTGGGCTATCACCTCTCCTGTGCAGTTAATATTGCCTACGCTATCCACTGTTCTGACATATTTATTTACAATTCGCCTCATCTCCTCAGACTCACGGCTGCTAACACACCAAGTTGTAAGTTAAAATTCTTTCCATGTTAATAGCTTTACAAACATAACAAGGTCTGAAATAACTGTGACGGCATAAATACCGTATCTTCCAACAAAAGCGCTGTGTCACCATGGAACTTAAGATGTCTCCTTGTGTGTCAAGCACCCCCTTTTGGAGGGAGGAGACAAAAGGAACTACAGATGTGCTGTGGGGGGGGGGGAGAAGGCACCCACAGTGAGTGGGCAGAGACAGAGCAAGCCACCTTTTACCGTAACCGAAAATACCTGAACAGTTTTCCCAAGCAGACACCCCTCCCCTTAACAGAACATTGGCCAGTTCATCTGCAGCCAAGCCAGTCTCAATTATTCACACCTGAGCACAGATAAGAATGCCCATGACAACATGGGGGTGAATTTTTGCTTCCACAGTGAGAGCCTCAGGGTGCTTGGAGGATTTTTATTTATTCAGATATTATCACCCCTTTTCTCCCCAACGAGGACTCAGATTGGCTTACTACCCCGTTATCTCCTTCTCCATTCTACTCACACACCAACAGTCCTGTGAGGCAGGTTAGGCTCAAAGAATGCACAACTGGCCCAGCAAGGCAGGGGACTCTGCCTGAAGCAAAGAGACAACCCAAACCAGACAGCCTGACGGGATTCTCTTGGAGAAAGAGTGAAAGATAAAGTTCTTTTGGTCGCAGCCTAATCTAAGTCCTCTCAGCTTGCCAGGATATACCTGATGGCTCATGCAAATAGTAAGCTATCCAGGGGGAGGGTTCGTCCACTCGAGCAGAAGTTGAAAGGCTGCATATAAATAAGTAATAAGAACACAGATGCACTCACTACTTTACAGGCATCACTGAAGAAAAAACCCCATGCCCACAGGTGTTTACGGCGCCACAGTAATAAAGATACATTGGGGAAGACAATGCTCTAAAAGTTTAAGAGTCTTTTAACAGGAGCGGGGGAGGGGGGGACTTCGGCAAACCATGATGACAGACAGCAATAAACGTCTGTAGGCACCAGAAAATTCAGGTGCAAGGCAAGAATGTAGGGACACATCACAGGGCTGTTGTGAAGGCAAAATGGAGGAGAGAATAATATAAGCCACTCTGGGTCCTCATTGGTTAATATCACTGTCTCACACATACTAGACCTCTAGCAGGGCAAGCATGAACATATGGCAGCCAAGTGCCTTGTAATGTAAAAAGCTGAACACCTAGCTCTATGAAATATTCATTTCCTAGCCTTCAGGTTAACAGAGGATGCGGAGACGAACCACAAGCCAGAACTGTAGGCTTGTCTATAGATGTAGGGGAAAGCTGCCTTTTTACCAACTTATTAATATCTCTCCCAAAGGCCAAGCTAACAAAACTAACATTTGTCAACTAACACAGAGGTTAACCTCCTCAGCTACCTAAAGCACATCTGGGCAAAAGCCATTTCTGCACCATCTAAGAATTTTAACAAGGCTAAGAACACCCACATCTTCCTACCTCCCCCTTCAGAACATTATCCAAAGATTACTCCTCTCTCTCTCTTGTCTAACTGCCTCAACACGACACACCCCTGCTGTACTATTAGGAGACTCGATACTCCTTTTCACCTCCATGTGCCTCCTATTACCTCAGCCGTCTGTTGACACCTGTTGTAAAGCCAAAGCAGAATGACATGGGGGGAAAGGAAAATTGTGCTCAGCCAAGATTTGCAGTGGGGGTGTTACACGTGGGTCCTATTTCCTATCACTGATCTGAGTGACACAGAATAAAGGTAACCTAATTTCATCTTCAGCTAAGAAGGTTGAATATGCACATACAAAATAAGGAAAAGGTTTCTTTCCTTCTCCTCAGGGGAAGAGGAAGAGAAAAGACACTCCAACGCACTCTAAAAAGGGTGGGAGTGGTTACCTTACTCTCTCGGGAATACTTTAGGAAGCCCAAGTTCCCAGTTGCCTCCCCTTCTGATGGGGGGGGGCGCTCTGCAGACCACATTTCAAGAGTAGGGGAGAACCTCTTCTCACTTATTTTTATTTAGACATTCGCACCCCACTTTTTGCCCACAGTGGAAACCCAAAGCACCTTACAACGTTGATGTCCCCTTCTCCATTTCCTCCACACAACCCCCCCCACCTTGTGAGTCAGGTGAGGCTAAGAAAAAGCGACTGGCCCTAGGCCACCATGCAAGCTTCCATAGCAGAACGGGTCTGAGTCTCTAACCACTACGCCACACAAGATCTCTCATTTCGGGAAAGAATCCATCTCTCCCCCCTGCTGTCCAAATACCAAGCTTTTGAGGACTGATGTGTCTCCGTTCTTGTCCTCTTCCCAAACTATAGAATGAACACCCCCACCTTCATATGGGAGAGACTTTTCCTTCCTTCACCTCCTCCAATGTTCGGAAGGGACCCTTTCCCATATATATCCTGACACAATCCCCTCCCATGGCAAGGGCGTCTGTTCTCCCAACTTAACATGTAGCAGGGACTTCTTTTCAGCCCCTGTCTTAATGTGGAAAGTGAAAAACAGCCTTCCTCCCCCATCCCCATCGGCTTTTCCGCGGGGCGGGGCGTGCTCCCTTCTTACCCACTTTATTGAGGGAAAGAAGGTTATCCTTATTTTGGGGATCAGGAACATTCCCATTCTCACAAGTTATCTAGCCCTCCTCGCCCCGGGTACTTTTGACTCCCACTTAATTGCATGGGTGGTGAGGGGGTTCCCTCCCGGCCCATAAACCTGGAGAGGGAAATGATAGTCCCCTCCTACATTATTAGGGTAGGTTTCCTCTCCTCTCCGTGTTCCTCCCCCAAACTTTTCGCGGGGTGTGTGCGCTAGAATCATCCCCGTCCCCGTGGTCTCTTCCTTCTCTCCTGGCCATTGAGAGTCTGGTTTCCCATATTTTGGGAGAACCCCCCCCCCTCTGCCCCCCTCTCGCGCTTCGGTTCCAACTCACCCCTCCTATTCATGGGCCGGACCCGCACCGCCACCTTCACTTTAGAGTCCCCCATCTCGCCAGCCCAGCTGCTGCTTCTACTGCCGCTCCTCTTCGCTTGTCCTCGGGCTTCCGTCTTCGGAGAGGAGAAGGAGAAAGGAGGAGGAGCGTGAGCTGGGGAAGGGACCTTCCCATAAGGACTACACTACCCAGAGCTCCACGCGCAGCGCTGACTTGCTCCTCCTTCCCGGTTGCCCTAAATTCAACTTGTCATGTTGCACGACGGGATACGTAGTCCTAGCCTGAGGGAATAGCACTTCCCGGGAATTGTAGTCCAGGAACTGCCTGGGTGCTGTGCAAAGCGTGGATGGTGCAATGGATATCTGGAATGTGGTCACACTGAAGACAGATTTACTTACAAATATTTTTAAAATAAAAAAAGAATCCCGCCTTTCCTAAAAGGCTCTAGGTGACTAACAGCAGCGTTGAAACCAAAAACACGTTAATATATATTAACAATATACAAAATGATCCGTTTAGAACTTTAGAACCTCTATGGTATACCATACGAGAAGTGGAAGATGCAGAGTATCTTCTCTCTGTAGCCACCCTAGGATTTACTGTTCTCCTAGACTAACAGAGTGTAACCTCTAAAGCTGCCATTTCCTCCAGGAGAACTGATCTCTGTAGTCTGGAAATCAGTTGTAATTTTGGGAGAACCCTAACTGGGACTGGAGTATCTGAAGCACCATCTTCTCCCATATGTTCCTGCCTGGAAATTAAGTTCACAAGGAGAGGCCCACCTGATTGAAAGAAGCACGTTTGGTGGACACATGAAAGAAGGCCTTTTCAGTGGCAGCCCCACGATTATAAAACAACCTTCTCAGGGAGGTGGGCTGGCCCCTTTACTGTGGATCTTTAGGAGGCAGCTGAAGATGGTGTTATTTAGGACTGTATTTGACTAAAGCAGTCCTAAATTGTGGTTTTAAATATGGGGCTTATATGTTTTTAGGTGCTCTATATATTTTTTTAAATTTATTTATTAGATTTTTACCCCGCCCTCCCAGCAAAGCTGGCTCAGGGCAGCTTACACAACCGGTATAAAACACTACAATGTAACAATAAAATCTACAGTATAAAAGCCACCAATACACAATTTAAAGCTATAAATGTTACAACATATTAAAGTGCTAGTGTTCAATCCTCGGCGTAGTCAGCTTCTTGATACTCCTCAAATGTCCCGGCGGCCGACTCGAGCTGCAATTGTGGGACCCAGCTGGTCGGGCTTGCTCTTCATAGGCTGTCAGATATCAATGGTGGCAGTGGTGGTGGCGGTGGCTCCAAAAGCCTGGCGGAAGAGCTCCGTTTTACAGGCCCTGCGGAACCGTAGCAGGTCCCGCAGGGCCCTGACCTCCTCCGGGAGATCCACCAGAGAGCCACCGAGAAAGCCCTAGCCCTAGTTATCGCTAGCCTGGCCTCCTTGATATTCGGGAGGACCAGCTGATTCTGGGGGCCCAACCGCAGCACTCTCTGAGGGACATATGGGGAAAGGCGGTCCCTCAGGTATGCAGGTCCCTGCATATTTCATTTATACTTTAGCTGCCTTCAGCTCTATCATGACGAAAGGCAGCTAATAAATGTTTTAAATAAATAAATAAATCTCAGGTCGCAGAGATTTAGACTAAGACTGCAAGGGAAAGGAGGGCTTAACCCCCCTTCCAAGGTGTTTCCCTTGCTTGAAGCAGCTTCTTGTGCCAGGTAAAGCAGTGTGCACCTTGATGGCACTAATAAGTGATGAATAATAATAGCCACATTTGATTATGCTTTTGCAAATGGAATACTTATCTGAATTAATTGAATGTGCATATTTATTGGTATATTGATTCATCACAGCAGTTCCCTGCGGAAGTATGGCCCCATAGTACATGCTGCACAGCCTGTAGAACATAAAGATGCCTATTTGTTTCCAAATGAATTGAAAAGAGACCTTGCCGTTTACCATTCATTTTACCATTTAAGGGGATACAAAATGAAAATGGGCAAAGGAAAAGGAGAGAAGCACAAAACATCATTTGTTAAAACACATTTTAAGGACATTGCATAACATAGGAATATAAATCATGAAAGAGTATCATAGCAAGCAATATCATAACAAATCAAAATATGGTAAAATAATCAATACCTCAGCATAATGTATTTCCATGTATATTTCCATTAATTTCTATCCAAAGGGCTAGGTAGGAAAACATATAAGCAAGAAACATAAGAAAAGAGTAAGAAAGCATTTTCCTTTATGTACTGTTAATACTATCATATAATAACTAGTAAATATGTAACTATAAAAGATTAATGAATATAACTACGAGCATATAATTATATGGTTTTGAGTATTAATCAATTTACATAAATAAAAATATTTTAAAAGAAAAGCGACCTTGCCACAGAACAGGTTTGAGAGGGAATCAAAATGAGGGGTGAGAGAATCAGGAGAAAATAGTGAAATCAGGAGAAAATCACTGAAATTAGTGGAAAGGAACACGGTCAATAAAACCAGGGGAGACTGGCCCGCCAACTTACCAAAAATGGTCCCTGCGGCCAGTGCCCTAGAGGGCCTCTGGAAGCCAGAGGCAAGCCGAGCTGAGCCCCAGGGCATGTCCTCTGCCAGTGCTGCAACAGCTGCTGAGCTCAGGCATGATCAGCAGTGCCAGTGATGGATGTTGGCTCACCTGTTGCCGTCTCCTTCTCTGCCACCAACTGGCAGTGATACAGGAGGAAGCAGTGGGAGAGACAGCCTGTCATTGGTGCTGTTAGCCAGGTTTAAGCTAAGAGGCCACTGCATCCCTGGCTTGGAGTGCTACAGGGGCAGCTCAGCCAGGCTTATCCCAGGACTGTCTTTAATGTCACAGTCTGGCCCTGGAGAAACCTCATATACTGACAGAATGAAGTCTGGGTCCAGGGGCACCTTTAAGACCAGCAAATGTTAAGTCTGGGTATAAGCTTTTGTGTGCATGCACACTTCTTCAGATACACTGAAACAGACTTCCTCAAGCCTTAGATATAGGTACAGAAGGAGGGGATTAGATGCTAATTTGCTGCTATTCACGGGTCTTACCAACTGCTTTAATCCAATCTTAGCTATACTTATCTCTTAGTTACTTATGCACCTTTACTCTAATTAGCCGTTTCTGGCAACTCCCCTCCCCCACCTATATGTCACTGAAGTCACTGGGTTTGGAAAGATGTAAAGGATGTGTTGTTAGTCACTAAAACTTTCCACAGAAACACTTGCTCAGGAACCATCTGCTGCCCTGAGATTTCACCAGGATTCTGGTTTCTGAAATTTCGCCAGGATTGCTTGTATACTTCATACCTGTAGCGAGGGGGGTTAACACGGAAGCTGAAATTGTTGGGATGCTGAATACACATCTGTTGGCAATAACAGGTGGATATTCTAACTTCAGTCGTGTATATGCCTGTCTCTACGAGTCACTGTCAGAAACTTGAGACATAGGCTGCGGTCACACACCCTAAACAATCCACTTTCAATGTACTTTCCAACTGGATTTTACTGTGTGAACTGGCAAAATCCAGTTGGAAAGTGCATCGAAAGTGGATTATTTAGTGTTTGGGACTGCAGCCAGAGAGAAGGAGGGAAAAGAACAGAGGCAGATGGATGGCTTATAGGTGGGGCTTTATTCAAACTAAACAGCTCACCTGGGCTTGGCCTCTGAATCAGTTTTCAGTGCTGGGGTGTCACCCTGAGTGATGTTAAGTAATAGATATGTTTTCATTGCTGCTTAATAACCATAACCATTGCCTTCCATGGAAAGGTACAGTGACTTCCGTGCAGACTGGATTCCTGCAGTATCTGTCTCATATGGACACATGAAACTGCCTTATGCTGGATTATCCTGTTGATGCATTTTAGCTCAGCAGTTTCTACTATGACTAGCCAGAGACTGTTTTTATTGCATTACGCAGTTCTTTCCTTTGCATTATTTTCCAGTTCTGTAATGCTAGTGCAAGTGCACTGATGATTGGAGGTTTCTGCTGCTTTTCTTAAAATTGATTATCATGTTCTGTAATCTGTCTTGACTCTCAAAGGGAAAGGCAGATTATAAATGAAGTAAATAAATAATAAATTAAAATATTCCTTTGTTCAGTCACACAGTCGAGTCCAACTCTTTGTGACCCCATGGACCGCATCATGCCAGGCCCTCCTGTCTTCCGTCGTCCTCCAGAGTTTGCTTAATTTCATGTTCGTTGCCTCGATAACACTGTCTAAACATCTCAGTGTATGCCGCCCCCTCCTTCTGTTACCTTCAATCTTTCCCAGCATCAGGGTCTTCTCCAGTGAGTGCTCCCTTCTCATTTGATGGCCAAAGTATTTGAGCTTCAGCTTCAGTATCTGGCCTAGGAAACAGTCAGGGTTGCTTTCTTTTAGGATTGACTGATTTGATCTTCTTGCAGTCCAGGGGACTCTCGATTGAGTCTTCTCCAGCGCCATAATTCAAAAGCATCTATTCTTCGGTGCTCGGCCTTCCTTATGGTCCAACTCTCGCAGCCATACATTACTACTGGTAATACCATTGCTTTGACCATGCAGACTTTTGTTGGCAGGGTGGTGTCTTCACTTTTTATTATGCTGTTTAGGTTTGCCATCACTTTCCTCCCAAGGAGCAGTTGTCTTTTAATTTCATGTCACCATCTGCAGTGATCTTGGATCCCAGGAACGTGAATTTTGTCACTGCTTCCACGACTTCCCCTTCTATTTGCCAAGGAGTGATGGGTCCAGATGCCATGATCTTAGTTTTTTTAATGTTGAGTTTCAAGCCCACTTTTGCGCTCTCCTCTTTTACCCTGAGCAAGAAGCTCTTTAGGTTCACTTTCTGCCATTAGAGTGGTATCGTCTGCATATCTGAGATTTTTGATGTTTTTCCCGGCAATCTTAATTCTGGCTTGTGATTCATCCAGGCCAGCATTTTGCATGATGTACTCTGCATATAAATTAAATAAGCAGGGTGACAACATACATCCTTGTCA